GGTTCCCTGTCACGAAAGAGGACAGGGACAAAAGGACATAGCCAGCATCTTGTCTTGCCTCTCCAAGGAAAGACACTTTGCGTGACCCCCTGACAGTTGCCTGTCCTACACAACCAGGCTGCTTTCCTAAAAACAGTGATTAAAACAGATTTACTGGGGGGCAGGATGACATTTATATGGACTAGAATCATTTCTTTGTTCATTTTGTTTGGGGAGTAACCTTTCCTAAAGGGTAGATTTAATTTAGGGAACACTTCATTAAGTGGAGTGCCGATCTCTAGGAGGAACATTCTTACAGTGGGAAATGCCACTCTCTCCGAAGTGTGTGCTAAGTTTTACAATGCCTGACAGTTAAGGCAATGGAGGACTTGGGGAGGGAGGGAGCATCTTAGATTTCTTTCCTTTCTCTCTTCTGTTTCCTTTGTTCAATTTTTTTTTGAGTAACCGATGGGTTCTAAGCATGAACTACTGTTAAGTCCTCTTCTGCTGGGGCCACAGAGCTGGATTTACTTTAGGGACTAACTTACTCTTGAATGACCAGCCTTCCCCTTTCCCTCGAAAGCCAGCTCTAGGCAGTGGCGCTTACTGGAGATCCGTTAGGATTTGCTGTGAGACTGGAATGCCTTGCAGAAAACTTCAAGAGGTAGACAGACAGACTCCATTAACTCAGAAAACACAAAGCCTGGGGGTAGATGCACAGAGACAAAAGCAACACGTATTGACTGCCTCCTCCTTCTGGAACCTTCTATCAAAGACCGCGGATACTTTCCCAGGAGCCCTGGACTGTCTTTGGCAAGCGCTTCTGCATGACAATACTTTTCTTATGATTTTCACACTGTCATCGGAGCTGAGGAGGGGCTTTCAAGTTCCTCTCTGCCATTCTTCGCGTTCAGCTGAGAGTTCTCTGATGGAGAAATTTCAAAGAGACCATTTTAATCCAGGTTCTCTAACACCTCTTCAACGCTCCTTGAACTTGGAGTGTCTTGCCAAATACCAGTGCACCACCTACGCTCCCCTTGGCTCGAATAAGGAGCCAGAAAGCATGAGGCCATGAAGACCCCATTCTTAAAGAAGCCATCAGCCAGCCTGAGAATCAAGCATGAGCTGCCTTCAACTGTATACAATGAATTAGGTCTGCTGTCTCCGTTAGTGACATGTATCCTGGACAGGGAGCTTCTCTAGTGTATGTAAAATGCAGCACATTTTTTAACTGAAAAAAATCTACTGGCTTTATAGCATTTACAGGTCAGAAAACATGCTGGAGATGAGCTTTCCTGTTTCTTTATGAATTAAAATATTGAAATATTAAAATATGAATCGATTGCTCCGTGCATGTGTTTAACAAATGGTTCCAGGAACAGAGTTACCTTTCCCTCCCCCTGCCCCTCACGTCTTCAAATTTGTAGAGATTTAAAATCAAAACCCTCTGATACAGAGACATAGCCCCTCAGGCTTCTTGCAGGAGGGCAAATTGATACAATTTCCATGGAGGGCAGTTTGCCAAAGTGTGTTGGGAACATTGAATACATTCGTACCCTTTGACCTAGTGATTCCATTTCCAGGAACCCATTCTACTCAAAGTAATCCCACATAGATACCTACTTGTATGAACTGGTATATTTAAGGATTATCTACAGTCAGGAAAAAAAGAAAAAACAACCCAGAGGGTATAACATGCCCAAAATTGGTAAAAGATTAGGTGAAATTTTGTAGATCCGTATTAGGCTGCATTTACAAAGAAATGTTAATGAAATAAGGGAACTGGTTATTGACAGTTTTGGGGGCCAAACCCCGACTCCAACCATATGAGGAGAGTGTGAACTTAACTCTGTAAATGCATGTGCATAGAAGATGGCATGTGCCATGTCATCCCCGAATTTTCGTTATTGATTATCATCTCAGCTTAGATGACAGGTTCATTTCTTCTTTGTTATACTTTCTTTCTGCCATTAACATAAAAATTCAAAACATTCCTAATAATAATCAAAAAGTTGAGGAATTTTCTGGAGGAGTAAGTCTAGGAAGAAAGATGAAACAAAGAAAGTTGGGCTAAGTTCACATTTTTCAAACCAACTTGTGCTTCTAAATTAAAATCCTGCCTCTCCACACACTGGGTTCCTGGAAGCTGACCAAAATCTGCTCAGTAATATTAATTCTACTTAAAAAAGAGAAGGGAGCATATTGAATCGCATTTGCTTATGGTCTGGGTGCTTGGAAGACATCAGTTGGTGAGTACCAAAGTGATGTCTGAATGTTTCTATTTGCATTTTGAAAATTGACAGATAATTGAAAGGAATTGGCATGGAAATTTCTCAGAGGAAGCCTGCCTACAGAGGCATCCTGGTGCTCAGAGCCTTGTTGCAGAATGTTCTAGAACTGCATACTTCTTTAGTTAAGGGGGGGTCATATGTTTATTGGGAGGGACTCTGAAGAACTCTGCCCTGCTAGACAACCCCTGAGGTATCCTTGCCCTATATTCAAAGCTGCCTCATTTGCTTCAATTACATTTTCTGTGACAGTGCTGAGTTCTTACACACACACACACACACACACACACACACACACACACACACACACGTCACCAGAAGCAGCAATCATCTTGGTGCCTTTCAAATTCCACAGAGATACTTCAGCGAACAGCCTTGGTCGACATTATTTCTTAATTAATTTATTGGCTTTTTAATTAGAAGCGGTAGCCATGGCTTCGCAGAGAGCAAATTCACAATATGCATATGTTGAAATCACCGTGAGGATTAAACAATGTTTTAAAGGTTGCAGGCAGGCATGCACAAGATAGAGTTCTGCAGAAGAAATTATATAAAAGAATGAAAAAATTAAAAAGGAAGACAAACATATCTTGTGGAGAGAGGGGAGAGAGAGAGAGAGAGAGAGAGATGGGAGACTGAGGACTCAAGGCATGAGCTGCAAAAGCTGTGAAAGGCTGAAAACCAAAGCCCTTGTGGAGCTTCAGGTCCAAGCCCTCCACTGTCCACTTCCCTCGGGCAGGGCCAAGAGCTCTGAGAAACAAATGGAACTTATCTTGTACCATTGGTGGCCTGTTTCTGTGTTAGCATTCCAGCTTTCCACAAAATGTATTTATTTAACAAATGTCACCCCAAACAGCTTGGCAGCAGATGAGGTTTATTTAGTGGTACTAAAACAGGTGAAACATTCCTTAGATTTTCTGGCTCTGTTTACGTTCCTATAAAGGAAAAAAAAAGAGCTTGTTATGGCTCCTTACACACCCAAACTGATCTGCAGTGTGTTTAAAGCACACATGCACACACACACACACACACACACACACACACACACTTTATTTGGTAGCTGATTTAGAAAACACACATCTTCTGTGTTTTTTTCCCCAAAGCAATGTATGATGTCTTTATTTTATTTTATTTTATTTTATTTTATTTTTCTACCCAGAGGTCAGGATCGGGAAAACTGGACACAATCTCATTTTATTTTAACGCCCGCCCCCCCCATCCTTTCTTTTGAATACTTCCCCTTCAAGCTTTACAATTTCCATTCTGCATCAGAGTTAAGTGTCTTTAAGTCTATATATCCCCTCTCTGTGTTAGCAGTGCTGTGTTTTAGAGTGCCCTGGTAGTGAGAAAAAAACAAACAACCAAACCAAAAAAAAAAAGAACCAAAGCCCGCCCGTGTCTCCCCAGCCCTTTCCTCTGTAACCTTTCTCCAAGTGAATGCTAATTGAAAAAGAAAGAACACACTAATCTTGGAATTTAAATGCATTTAACAAAACCAATCTCACTCTAAATTGTTGTTTCGCCCGTTCCCTTTTCCCTAACAGATGTCGGGAAACTGCAATTTCTATTAAGAACACTTGACTGTTTACTGAGCTCGGGAACTTCAGCCCCAGCCTGCATCAATCTAAATGCGTTTCGAGACGTCAGGCCTCAGAAAAGTGCAGACTGTTAGCCGGTTATTTTTAAATGTAATCTTCACATAAAAGAATCACAGCGCTCCCCCCCTCTCACTTTGTCTTCCCTTCTCTTTTTTAACGATGGCATCAAGCACAGGCGGAGAAGGGGATTTTTATGACCCGTTTCATTTAAGTTGCTTGCGGCTTGAGCTGGTGGCTTTAGCATGGGGTGAATGAAATTATTAGTTAAGTTTATGAAGTTGAGCGCAAAGAAACATGCCGTCTGATGCTCTGTACCCCACATGCCTGACAAAGGGGATGGAATTCAAGTCCTGGATGGTGCCTGATACAGGTATGGTTGCAGAGCTGGGAACTGAGGCCAAGGGGATGCTGTAGTGTCAGTCCTTGGCAGGGTACCAGCTGGTAGGCAAGGACAAGGTGGACCTTGTGTCTTGGCCAGAATCCAGAGAATCTTCACAAATCCATTCCCTAGGCCTGGCCCTGGGAGCATCAGTGTGGTGGTTATCATTTGTTTAAAAGCACTGGTTTAGCGCTTGGCATAAAACGTACATATATTGCAGGCTCAAGCTGTGGGATTTTACAGTGCTATCTGCACTAGGATGCAGGGCCCCTTGTCATCTTGCCAATACCAAATTGCACAGTTTGGAAAGATGTATCTTCTGAGTTTTCAACGTTTTGACGTGTGTTCCCTTTCCAGTTCCCTGTCCCTCTTACTTATTAAGAATGAAAGAAGAGGGAGGGCATGGGGTGGGGGGCAGAATGCAAGACAGGGTAAGCAAAAGCGAGTATAAAGATGGAACACAATACAGATGTACGCCCGTACCCAGGGGTCTGCCAGGTACAGACTGCCTAATAACTAGCCTTCAGCTCAATATGAGTGTCCTCACTCACATTTGCCATTTGCCCCAGAATACAAGCCCCGAAGCTGGCTGCATGGTCCTGGCTGAACGACTTGTTAGGAAAACCCTACATGTGTGCATGTTGCTTGGGTTGCAGGCACTCCTGGCTCTCATGTGGGATTTTGCAACAGGCATCGATTTCGCTGGTCTGCAGTTAACAAGACAGCTTGTTGGGGGCATTTGTGTCCCATCGTAGACCTGGTTCAGAGAGAGCAAGCCTCTTTCCCTCCTGTGTTTCAGTTTTCTCAGTGATTTTGTAGCTGAGCATCCTTGGGTGAGACCAGGATGAAGTGTGGACCAGACACCAGGTTGGAATAGTCTTGGTCCTGGACCTTGGCTGGCAGACCTTATCCTTGTCCTGTCTACATCTTCCTCATTCTCTCATTCTTGAGATCGGTAAGGGACATTTCGTTTAGGCTGAAAATAACAATCACCTTCCATGGGGCTTGTCTTGAAAATGTAGGATGAGTTCCAGTCCAGTTTAGTAGAAATTATAAACCCAGGACTCCCAAAGAGCAAAGTTCAGTGACTCAGACTGTGTCCCCTGAACTCTCTGGCCTCCTTCTGAGCATGTCTTTGTTCCCTTTGTCTTCTATCTTCTTCCTAGCTTCCTCTCTGCCTGTTTGCTTCTGTCTCCCTGATTCCCTTCCTTCCTCCTTGGATTCTATCATCCTTCCTTTCTCCATTCTTTTTCCCTACATCCCTAGGCCTCATTCCTTCCCTCTGGCTCTATGACTTTGCTCATCTCTGGTCAAGAGAGGTGTGGCCCTCAGGAGGGTGAGAGGAAGCAATTCCCTTGCTTAAGGAAGGACTACAGATTTCCTCGTGGGGGCTCCGGTGAGGTCAGTGTGACTTGAAGACACAGACGAGGGTGGGATGCTCAGTGGATGTAATGCACTTCAACTCGCTTAGAATCCTTCCACTTGGGCGTGAGGATGTGGCCTCAAATCTGCATAGAGCATCCAGAGGAGGAATGCAGGTCTCACTGTGCATGGTAGGGTTCTGTAGTGGCCCTTGGGTCTCTTGAGAACAGCCCAGGGAGTAGGAGAGACAAGATGATTTAAATCTGGAAGCTCTTCTAGATTCATCATTTCGTTCTATACAAGAATAAACTGGATCACACAATGTAAGAGAGCCTTCCAGACTCAGGGAGCAGCATGGAGGAGGATTTGAAGCCAGGACTGACCATTTACCCTCTTTCCTTCATTCTGGATTGAGTGTTTCATAGAAAGGGAATGAGTACTCCACATCTGACAGAGGGTCCATCTCCAAAATTTACAAAGAACTCAAGAAGCAAGTCTTCAAAACATTGAATGGTTCAATTAAAAAGTGGGGTACAGAACTAAATAGAGAATTTAAAAATGCTTGATAGACACTTAAAAAAATGCTCAACATCCTTAGCCATTACAGAAATGCAAATCAAAGCAACTATGAGATACCATCTTACTCTTGTCAGATGGTTAAAATAAAAAACACCAATGACAGTTTGTACTGGAGAGGATGTGGAGAAAGGGGAACACTCCTCCACTGTTGGTGGGAGTGCCAACTCAAACAGCCACTTTGGAAATCAGTATGGAGATTCTTCAGGAAAATTGGAATCGTCTACCACAAGATCCAGCAATTCCAGTCTTAGGCATATACCCAAAAGATGCACATTCATACTACAAGGACGTCTGCTCCACTATGTTCATGGCAGCATTATTTGTAGTAGCCAGAACCTGGAAGCAACCTAGATGCCCCTCAACTGAAGAGTGGATAGAGAAAATGTGGTACATTTACACAATGGAGTACTACTAAGCGGGGAAAAAAACCAATGGAATCTTGAAATTTACAGGGAAATGGATGGCACTAGCAGAAACCATCCTAAGTAAGGTAATCTAGTCACAAAAAGACAAACATGGTATGTATTCACTCATATATGGATTGTGGACATGGATCAGGGGAGTGCCAGCCTACGAGCCCACTGCCAGAGAATCTGGGAAACAGGGAGGACCTTAAGAGAGATATGCATGATACCCCAGAGAAGGGGTATCAGACAGAATCTCCTGTGCAGATTGGGAGCATTGAGGGAGGGGAAAGGGAGCTGGGAAAGAGTGAGAGAGAGAAGAGGAGAGGAGAGGAGGACATGGGGGAGCAGGAAGGTTTAATTGGGGGAAGAAGAGAGGAGAGCAGGATGAGAGATACCATAATAGAGGGAGACATTATAGGTTTGAGGAGAGATGTGGCACTAATGAGATTTCCAAAGATCTACAAGGATGGACACCAACTGGCACACTAAGAAATAGTGGGGAGGCTACCTTAAATGCCCTTCCCTGATAATGAGTTTGATGACTACCTTATATGCCATCCTAGAACCTTCTTCCAGTGATTGATGGAAGCAGAAGCAGAAGCTAAACACTGAACTGAACTCCTGGAACCCAGTGGCAGAGAGGGAGGACTGATGAGCAAAGGGGTCAAACTGAACTGGTGAAACCCACAGAGACAGCTGACCTGAAAAAGGGGGGAGGTCTTGGACTCCAGACTGATGGCTGAGAGGCCAGCATGGGACTGATCTGGACCCCCTAAATTTGGGTGTCAGTGAGGAGGCATTGTCAATCTATGGGACCTTGGGTAGTAGATCAGTATTTGTCCCTGACATACAAATGGACTTTAGAAGCCTATTCCACATCAAAGGATGCTCTCTCAGTCACATGGAGGAGGGCCTAGGCCCTGCCCTGGATGATATGACAGACTTTGGATATCCCCCATGGAGGGCCTCACCTTCCTTGGGGATCAGAGTGGGGATTGGGTGGGGGGATTGGGTGGGTTGGTGAGGGGTGTGGGAGGAGGGGGGGCAACCTTTAGCCACCTGGAGAGCTTGAGCAGCATGGTGGAAAGAGAAACTATTTAAAAATGTGACCATTAAATTTTTTTGTTTGTTTGTCCTCTTTTCCAGGGCTGATATTCTTAGAGGTGAGCACTGACCCCGGACTCCCAAAGCTTTGATTTTAATCCCAAGCATTCAACAGCAACACACCTTAGACTTGTCCAGGCTCAGTTCCTTTTATGTCTCTAGCTTTACTTCCTAGCATTCCCTCCTTCTCTAGAAGTCCCAAAGTGCCCTGGACTTGTGAGTGTGGGCCTTGAGTTCTCCATTGTTGGTAAGGCATGCATGGCTAGCTCAACTTCTCCAATCAGTTTGGAAGTATTTTTGACAGACGGAGAGACAAAACTTCAGCTTCAAGTATATTTTAAATTTTATATAGCTTAAAGTATATTTTCATCCCCTCCACTCAGGGCACAGGAACTGAGCATATTGGCAAGAATGCAAACTTTGGAATCTGATGTTCTTTGGCTTAAATTAAAAAAATAAAATAAAACAATGTCTGAGATTTTCAGACTCTGCCCATGGGAATTAGGAAAACATCTTTGCAGAAATAATGGGGGCTAAATAGGCTGCGTGGAGGGCGGCTTCTAGCTCTGCATGACCTAGGGGGAGGGGAGAAAGAGACTCAGGAGAAGAAAACTACAAGAAGCCATGGGTGGTGCCTGTTGTACTTTCTTGCATGGGGAGCTGCATGCAGAAAGTGTGTGGAGGGGCAGTAGATAAAAGACAAAAGACCTTCCTGTACACATAATCAATCTCTTCACCCAGGATATTGGGCTTGACTCCTGCTCCCTGGGTTTGAAACCGTCGGAATACCAGAGCAAACGGCATCAGGAAAGCTCTAAGTGGTGGGAGCAGAAACCAGCAGTCTCCTAATGAGGCACAGACGATGACCAGTAGAAGAAGTTCTAGTCTGCTGTGATTGATGCTTCACAGTGTCTCAAACTCCTCCTGGGCAGAGTTGCCCTGGGGGTCTTACACGCAAGAGCCAAGAAGGAGAAAGCTGGGCTGTGTGTGTATCTCCCTAGGGGTTTGCGGCTGAAAAGAAAAGATGAGAGACTGCTTGGGGGACACTGGGTATGAGAGTCTAGATTCTCTGTTCTTAGGTCTCTCCTCTGTCTCCCCTATCTCTGTGTGTGTATGTACAAGTTCATACATGTGTGTGCGCATGCACACGGAAGACAGAGTTTGCCATTGGGTCCTCCTTCCTCCATCATTCTCCCTCTCAGTTTTTTGAAACAGGGTCTCCTATTGGATCTGAAGCTTAGCAATTCAGCTAGATTGTCCATCCAGTGAGCCCAGGGATCCTCCTGTCTTTACCTTCCAGTACTAGGATTTTAGGTGTGTGTTGCCATGGGTACTGGGGATGGGAGTCAGGTCCTTTCACTTGCATAGCAAACTCTATGGACTGGACCATCCTCTCAGCACTGACAGTTCTTGAATTTTAAACCTAGTGCCCAAACTGGACAACAGACAGTTTCTTAGAGTATAAGGGGAATATTGTCTCAGACACTTCTAGGGTGTGACCTTGGGCTGTCATTTAAATCCTCTGTGCTTGCCTTCTCCATTTCTTCAATTGTAGAATGGAGACATTCCTCATAGAGTGGAAAGGTGTTACTCCTACATCCTGGGTGCTGTGAGCACTGAGTGTGTTCATAGGAAACTCGGAGCATGGTCCAGCTCTGAGATGCAGAGACAAGAGGAAGGAGAAGGATCCAGAGAGTCAAATCACTGTCCACCCAGGTGGGAGGGGAGTCGGTTCAGAGGGGAGCAGCCATGCCAGCTGGCTTGCTGATGGGAGTTTAGTCAAGACTCTCCTTCTTTGTGACATTGAAAGTTATTGTGAGTGTGTGTTTTTAAATGCATAAGGGAAAAAGTGTCGGGGTGGGGGGATGAGGAGGGAAGACATACATCCCAGCCTGTTTCCCAATCTGGGTAGATTTCTCATTAGGATAGCATTCAGCTATTCTCCGAGCAGGTCTAAGAAAAGAAGGCTTCATCTCTGGGTCTGTTTAGAAGTGCATGGTAGTAGATGAGCTCCCTTGAATCCCGCGACTGCTTCTCTCCCCGTCCAGCACAAGCTATCTTTGTTACCCTATCTTTCCCCGAAGCCTTTAGCAATCGCTAACAATCCTATTTACTCTGTGTACCAGACAAACACAGTTACCGTTCCCATCTCACTATTTTTATCTAATATTGAAATTTCTCTCCCTAAGAGCAGCCCAGAATACATTATGGTATCTGCTGAATAAATGATGTGCGTAATACGCTGTGCAGAGATGGTATTTATGAAGCCGAAATGAAGGAATCACTCAGTTCTCCTTTGAAAGGAAATTCAATTGGATACGTTTGCAAGAAAGCAAAGACATGCTTTCTTTGAAATCCCCATGCAAACTTTTAGAATCAAGGCTGGCTTCTTCCTCCCCGTTGGCAACACAGACTGCCCTGCTCTGCCGTTCTCAGCGTGCTGGCTCTGCATAGCTTCAGGTTGTCACCCAGTTCCAGGATGAGGCATGCCCTTGTAGGAGCATCACTGCTTACCTTTTTAAGTATAATGACATGTCAAATGCGTTTTATGATACTTGAGATATTACACATCTCTTTCTCCTAATGTCTTAGGGAGAGGTAGGTTGAGAGCACCCCCATTTTGCCCAGGAAACACTTGGCAACAGGCTTTCCCTTTCCCAGTGGTTTCACAAGCAAGGGGGTGCACCACATAGTCCTCTGGTAACCAGATTTTGCCCAGGTGTTTTGTGCAGGGTGTCCTTAATGGAGGTAGTAGTGATGTCACTGAAACCACGCTAATGCGAGCTTTTATAAAGTGCCACCTCAACCTCTCCCTCTCCCGTGACACACTGGGGGAACCCAGGGCAGAACAGGGAGAAGACAGGCTGTTCAAAGTCCCTATGACGAGTGACTTGGAGCTGGAGTTCGGAGCAGGCCTGGTATGCCTGGTAGCAAGTTCAAGGATTTGCCTTGTGTCTGGCTTCCTCCAGGGGGCGAGGCTCCCCTGGTTGTGGGTCCAGAAATAAAATGTAGCTGTCCTTCTCTTCCTGCAGTCCCAGGCAGTATGGGGAGGGCTCCTCATCTCTCCTGAGTCCTCACCCTGCAACTTTGACTCCATGTTCCACCTGCCCTTAAAGACAGAAAACAGGAATGTGATTAGGACAGAAACAAGAAAAGGGCCAAGTCCCCGGGGACTCTTTAGCGTAACTGACTCCTTCCCTGACTGAGGAAGGGACATGTGAGGATATTCCCAAAGGCAAATCAATTCCCCAGGACAACCTAGCTCTCCGAGGGAGGAAGCCCCAGATTGGGACTCCTCTCTCCTTCCCAAAGTGACCCTCCCGTTATGGCAACAGGGTACTTCTGGTGAGTCTCCAACAGGTCAAGAGAAGGTGGGTCAGTCAGTGAGTACTGAGCTTCGGGAAATCCAAGCTTCTGGGTGTCCCTCTGAGCTCTAGTTCTGGCACAGAGAAGCAGGCCAGCAACAAGGAGTAAAAATGTGTTTGGTTTTCACCATCCTGGGGCCCGCTGAACACCACATACCAGGACAGCATTGTCCAAAACAAGAGTTCTTCAGATAGACGCAAGGGCACAGGTGCAAAGACAAGTCACACACATTCTGGAAAATTCTCGTTTCAGCTGTACATTTCTTTCCTTTTGTGTCAGAATTTGCTGACATATTTGCAGGACCAGTGTGCAGGAGAAACGTCCTTGAACAATAAACTGTGGCACGCTGGCCCCTTTGTTAGTTGGAAGAACTTGAGAGTTGAATAGAATGCATTGGCTCAGGGTCTGTTGGTCATGATTCAAGTGACAAACAGCTTAGACTAGTTATTGACAAACTGCATACAATCTGAGTCCATTTCACGGGTGAGAACTTACTTATTCCAGGTGTGGACAGCCATATTTCTGATGTGCTGGTGGCTGCTGTTTATACCCCGGAGGGCAAGTTGAGATTACGTTACCTACAAAGAAGAAATTATCTGCAGTCTGGCCCTTTACAGAGATAAGGTCTTTTGGAGAATAATCCAGTGGACTCCTTTTTCCTTAAAACAAACTGAGGACTTCAGTACTAACTACATGTGTTGGAGACAGTGAGCACCAACCCCCACTCTTCATAAGACTATGGAGGGCCATGTCCATTGGCATGATGACTACAAACACATTTCTAGAGGTGTAATTAGGATTGATCTACTTTCTCATTTGCTAGAGTCACACAAGACAGGACACACGTGTAAATATGTTCTTCTGGTGGCCTCCATGATAGGGACCTCCGGAGACCAGATAGAGGAGTAGTTATGGGGCCGAGCAATGGGCTTGTCTACTGCATGCTGAGTGGAAGCCATAGCAGCAGAATGGCTGTGGCATTGCAGGCCCCTCTGCCTTTCCCAGGGCACAGGCCCAGCCACTGATCTTCTGGCCCCATGTTTACACTATAAATTTTGATTTAGCTGTACACTCGTTAATATATTTTTCTTCTGTTGCAGATTGTTTTCCAGTGAACTGAATATTAAAAACATATTACAGAAAGAAACAGCCCGCCCGGCTGATTGTTTCTTTGCAAAATGGGTGTGATGATGAGCAAATGCTTGCATTTACATAAACAATCAGTTGACGGGCCCTTGCTGAATGTGAGCGTTCATGTTTGATGGCATCCTTATTGCTGCCATCAATAACAATATCGTCCTTGTTGGATAATAAACATCATAGCCAGCGTGTTTTAGGCAAGTGGGCACTTGACAGGGGGAGTGAGAAGTGGTCTTAGCTGGGTCGATTAAGGTACTCACCATGGGCATAGACTAAGAGTACTTCCTTCAATTCTGGCTGCAGTCAGTGTCTTTGCCAAAGACCGGTTGGCAACTATTGTGAAGGTTTTGGACTTACAGGAGGCTGACACACACTCAGGAGATCTTCCAAGGCAGAAGAATTGTTTCACTTACCCTAGATGACTGTGCTGCCTGGTGAGATGTTCAGGACTCTGCTTCCCGTGAACTCTTGGCCTATGTAGGTGATGACATGCACAGGAAGACACTGATGGCACCATGTGACTGTATCAAAGGAGAGAAAATGAGGACCTGCTGAGACATTGGGATTCTGAGTTTATTGCCTGTCATAATTTCATTTCTGTTGTTGTGACAAAATCTCCTGCAAAAAAGCAACTTGAGGGAAAGGAGTTTATTTGGAATATGATTCCAGGGTATAGTCCATCATTGCAGGGAGGCCAAGGCAGAAACTCAAGCAGCTAGTCACACTACATCATGTCAAGAGTGGAGAGAGATAAGCTCATCCTTCTTCTCTTGTTGGTTGGTTACTACTGGGGTGGCTTTCTCAACTCTTTTGTGTTTCAAGACCACCTCACGAAATGGTACCAACTGCATTAAAGGTGGGTCTTCCCACCTTAATTAACAAGCAGGATATCCCTCTATAGACGTGCCCACAGGCTAAACTGATCTAGATAATTCCTGGGCTGATGAGCCCTTCTCCAGTATTTCTAGGCTGTGGTAAGCAACCATTTAAAACTAACAATCACATTGCTTTATGGCTTTGCTTTAATCCTGATTTTGGTCACAGAAATTTAAATTTTCATCTTGAGTTGTAGATTTTCTTACATACGTGCAGCTAGGAATGTGTGAGCTTACAGACCTCTGGTGGGTAAGTTACTGAATTTGTGTCTATGCCATACTTACCTGTGACAAGAGTAAGATCAAGGCAGTATTTTCTAGCATCCCAAGGGTAGAGTCCTCACCATGTCCTCCTCCTTTTCCTTGTCCTTCTTTTACTATCCAATAAGTTTTGAATACGATAACTAATTCTTTGAGAATTTTGTATATTACACTTTGATCCTATGCACTCTACTCTCCCAGCTCCTCCCAGATCCACACCCTACTCCCTACACACTCAACTTTGTGTCCTCATCTCTTTAACATCAGTGCTTCATGTGGACTCTTGGGTGCATGACCATTCAATGCAACACGGTTGACCTTGCAGGGGTCATACACTTAAAGAAAATTGTTTCTCCCCTGACAGAGACCTACAACTGGTCAAAGTACAAAGAATAAGAGACTGCAAAATGTTCAGCCTTGGGGGATGGGGGAAGAGAGGAGGGAGAGGGAGCTGAGATTGACATGTGAAGCAAGCTTGTTTCTAATTTAAATTTAAAAAAATTAAAAATGTTCGGTCTTAAGTGGGACATCTCCATCACCCCCTTCCTCCCAAGCTTGGCTGAGGGAATCATTGTAGAAAAAGTGACAGGAAGACTGTGAAAGCCAGAGGTAGTGGGTGACTACAAAAATCATCATTTCCCAGTCACAGCAGGGCATTTACACAAGTGAACTCAAAGTTGTGATGGAATGCTCAAGTCCTGTGCATGTTCAAACCAGACAAAGTCACAGCATTGGATGGGGAGGTGGTCAGGCCCTTTTATTTTAAAACAGGCATCCTGAAAACAAAAACTGCAACTTCTTAAATGCTGGAACAGATTACCTTCTGTATAAACCTAGGCCAAAAAGTGACACAGAGAGCAAAGAAAACCTCACTCTACAGAGATCAAGAGAAGAGATAGTATAGCATGTGGGTCATAGGCGGGGACCACAGACAGGAAAGGGTGATCTGGGCACCACCACTTAATCCAGGTGTTCCTAAGGAAGCTGTTCCACCCCACCAGGATTCAGTTGTTGCATCTGTAGAGCATCTGAGAACACTCTGGTAGAAGGCTAATGGCCCTAAGGTTGGCGACTGCAGCACACTCAGGCGAGACCACGCAGGAATGGCCCACAGCAGCAGTTGTGTCGCTGTTTGCTGGTGTTGTGAGAGGCAGCCATGCACAGCTGTACCGGAGGAGCAGCTGGTGTCCATCCTACTACACACACACCCGTGTCCACACATGATAAAGCTGAAACGGTGGCTGACAGCCTGGGCGTGGCAAAGGGTCATGCGTCAGTTCTGAAGTGTCATTGAGACTAGTGAGGAACCCCAGGACCTTTGCCACTTCTGCTCCGTGACTTCGGTTCCGTGTTCTTTTTGTCAGCTAGGTCTTTGTCATTTCTTGGGAACAGTGGACTTCAGTCTCAACAGCTGAATGCCAGCGTGTGTGACTTCAATTAATTTCGCTGTGAAAACAAGTCCTTCTGGAACGTGGATGTGGGTGTGGCTTACTCTTTGCCACTTTGGGTGCCATGATGAATAACTCACAATGGTGTTTAGTTTTGAATGCCATCTTGGCTAGGTGGAGATGCCCAGAAGCTTGCTCAAATATTATTCC